TTTGAAATGGTAGAAAGATTTACATACCTAGGTGCAGTAATATCACGTAAACCTAACATTAAAGAAGAAATACAAGCTAGAATAATGGCAGAGAATGGGCAAGTGTTCATGCTCTTAGTGGAATGTTGAAAAGCAAGTTTTATCAAGAAAGGCAAAAATACAGTTATACAAAACAACTATACAACCAATAGTAACATACTCCAGTGAGACATGGACAATGATAAAAAATTAACAAAATTTACTCTCAAAATTTACTCAAAAATGAACAAAAGTACTCCAAAAAGGGTACTAAACTACACTATAGCTAACAGATGGAATCAGGAGATAGAAAAAGATATGGAAAAAATTGGATTAAAAACCAGAAAAGAAAAACGAATAACAAGAAGGAATGGAGAAAAATCACATATAGAGCCAAAGAAGATCTCAGTACATAAAGAAAAGCGAAAATGAGGAAAGAACAAACTTTTCAAGCCATGGATATCTAATGCCTTTAGTGCTATTGTATATATAATAATATCACATAATATCGAAACTATTATAAATTTTCTTAATAGTGTTCTGAAGCTCTTTTCTTGTGGCATTTTAAAGTAGTTACTATTTAAATGGATTTAAATTTAATTTAACTTCTAAATTTACTAATGTTTGTATTTTGAGAATGATTTCCGAAGTGGAAATGGAAACGAAAAAAAGTTATATTATTATGATCAAAAGTATTTAGGAGTGTTTTAGTACGAAAAAATTAAGCTATCACTAAAATCAGATTGCTTTGCCAAATATTGTTCAAATACATTCTGCAAAATAATTTAGAATTTGCTTCCACTAATTAACTTGTTCCTTTTTGTCAGTTTATGTACAAAACATGGAAAAATGCAATTTATTTCTGCAAAAAGAAATATTTTTAACTGTACTAATATTCAGGTGTTCAACCAGTCTGTTTGAAGGTTCGGATTGATTAATAAAATTACTTATATGCAATGAGTAATGGGTTTACTTGTGAAACAACTAAAGTTTCAATGGACGATATATCTTTGGATATATCGTCAGATGGAGAATGGTATGAGTAAAAAAAGAAAATAACTGAATCAATTGTACATTTTGTTTTGAGGGATCATAAAAAAATGCATATGAAATGATGATCAAAAGCACTTTGCTATAGGGGGATTGAAATAAGAAAAACTAAAGGAATGGAAGAACAATCCGGAAGAATTTAAGATCAAAATACTGGATATATTTAAATAATCGGTAGATACTAACAAAAACTACAAAATGCTACACATGAAAATTACTCCATGTGCAATATGTTGTATTTTACATAGTACTTTTCGGTGCAAAACGAAAAATGAAATACAACCTGAAAATATGAGAAAGGAAACAAGTAGGTTGTAGATTACAAAGGTGTCAATTGACCTCGCAGATCTTTCCACACTGTGACATCACAGATCTTTTGTGCACACCCTAATCTACGCTTAGACCAACAGATCTAGGCTAACTGTTTAGGAGAGATATTTGTTACCTGGTCAGGTTTTAAGATCTTCTTGATATAATATTAAGCAGTGTCCAGTGAGAACACCTGTGATAACTCTGTAAAGTCACATGCATTTGCTACCACTTAGGTAGATAGGACAATTAAAATTTTAAAATTAACAGTTAAATTATGAATTAAAAATTTCTGTGTCAGTGACAGGGATTGAACTCTGGTCCTCCGGCTTGACAAGCTAGTATCACAGCCACTGAACTACAGCTGTCACATTCTTTATACCCAGACATCCACAGCAAAATGACTTTTTTGAACTCTACCAGTTGCTTAAAAAACTGTTTGCAGTTCAAAGTGGTTACTATTTATAAGTTGTAAACTTCAGCTCCTTCTATGTAGCTTGTAAGTCTAAAGCAGTATATATTTTGGTCGAATTGCTATTCTTTCCTGTTACGCCATATTTCATCCCTGATGTTTCTTGGATTTATCGCCAGTGATGCCAACCATACAACTAATTTTTGATCTTCCTTGCTCCTTATGTTCATTACAAACATTGTTTTGTGAGCCTCTCATTATTCATTTGATTTAAATGTCCATACCAGATCAACTGGTATGGACCTCTCACCATCCTCACTATTTCGACGTTTTTTCGGATTGTTTCCAAGTTATGATACTAAATAATATAGCTGCTCTTGATCATAATCTCATAGACATTAAATTTTCTTTTTTTATATATATATCTGATTACTCCATAAAATATTATTAAGACATTGTATTGGTCTTTTTGTTTGTATAATTACGAATTTAGTTTTCTTATCATCTGTTCCAGTTTGATTAAATCTTACCCAGGTACTTATAGTCTTAGAAATCTTCATTTTCTTCTCAACCAATACATAAATACTTTATTTTGTCAATATTGATGTCCAATTCCATTCTTGAGTATTTGTCAATTAGTTTATGGATCATATACTCAATAGTGTCTCTGTTATTTGCAACTATGACCCGATTGTTCGCAATTTGAAGAGTATATAAGCAGGTATTGCTTATCTCAACACTGATTCTATGTACTTTCCTCTTCCACTCTTTAAGGCTGCTGATTTTAAAAAATGGTTGGAGAGACAAAGCATCCATGTCAATATTACATTAGTACCCTGATAATAAAACATGATTGTTACAGAAATAAGTGACACCTGGACACAAACATAAGAGTATTAATTTCTAAGTTGGAAGGTGTGGTATTGCAGTGTGGAAAACGGTTAATATGAAGAGCTGCCTTGTCTCTACCATATAACAGAAGTGTAAAATTATTTTCATAAGAATTGGAAGAAAATTGAGACATAAACTTATAAACAATAAAGAAACAAAATCAAAAGTCCTCTCATGGATGGCTCTTTAAGTACCTAAACTACAAAATCCGAGCTTGATAAAAGCTACAAGATGGTGTAAGGAATACTTTCATTCTGAGATTACATCAGCAGTTTGCCCATTCAAACTGCCACCATCTGTACTCTTTACGAAGATGAAGTGTAAAAATGTTAAAATAAATAGACATATGACAGTAAGTTCTTTTAAACTAGCGACTCATCATTTCAAGTTTTCCAATTGTTAGGACTTTGATTATTACCAAATAGTGTACCAGTGGATGCTTGTAGTAATAAAAAATACTTTAATCACAAATGAAGCAACATTTACAAAAAAATAAGATAATAGTAATCACAATTCTCTATCTGAGCAACACATATTCTATTAATAAAAAGTACACCTTCAAGTATCATTCAATGGAGTTGTCAACATATTGTTTAATAGAGTCCTCATTCATAATTTAATGGACAACTTATTGGAGCAAATTATCCATTCATTTTATAAATTATCTGACTAATACTTCAAAGATGTATAAATCAGATAAAATATGTACTTTTTGCAATGCGATACTCTACAAAATAGAGTGATATAAACCTTATAAAGAATACTTTATGGATGAATAAATCTTTATAATATACAGAGACAAGAGAGTTTCTCTTAGACAAAAAAAGAAAGAGGACAGGTAACATTCATTTAATAAACCTTTGAAAAGACTGCCATGTTTTGTGACTGTACATTGCCCATTACTACCTCTCGTAGGGTTACCAGGTCTACTAATTTTTTAGTAGATCTACTGATTTCACATTCAATTTACTGATTTACTGAAACACTATATCGATCTACTAAAAAATATGTAATGATAAACTGAAGAAATAAAATATGACCTAACAACTGTTTTGGTGCCAGTTGGTACCAATTTAGGCTTCAGTCAATTCCACACCATTCCACATCCCTCTCTTTCCTTGTATAAAGAGAAACTAGTCATCACAATACTCACATCTGATCAGCAAGTATCTGGGCCTTGAAAAGGTCCTGCCTATGTGTCTCAGTGCATTCTCCAAAGACTATATTATTTATTAAATATTAGCAATGTTTTTTAATAAAATAATGAAAATAAAAAGGAAAGGGTAAAAAATTATCAACCTTTAATTCAATAATATGATAAAAAGACTTTTAATGCGTTTTTGTCAAAACTACCATCTTCCTACTGGTATAACACTTTTCTCTGAATCTGCTTGTCCAATTCTAATAAACCAATGGTTTTTTGATTATTAAAAAAAAAAAAACTGAACGATAAGCCTCTAAAACTTAAAAAAACTACCCTATTTTTTTATACATGGACGAATTAACCAAAACATAAGGTGATTTTTCAATTTTCCCAGAAATATTCATAAAATAAGCACCAAATGGTGTATTTTATCCGAAATTTTTTTAGAGAAGGTCCACAAAAGTACAAAATTAAAAAACACACTTATAAAAAAGTCTATCTACAGCAGTAGAAAGGACTTAAAATAGGCAACAATTTTTTATGTAGGTACTCAAACATATATAAGGAAAACCTACCATGGGATTATCTGGATTAGGCAAAAAACAATACCTCAGTACCCATAAAAAATATATTGAAGGAAGAAACTATGAAAACATACCCTGCTTATTATCTTAATACAGAAAGAAATACATAGTTATGGTGGTCAATGAATAAAATGCAAGTAATGGGATATCCTAGACAATATTAATATAGATAAGTTCTAAACAATAGCAATAAAAGCTTACAATAGCAAACTTGATAACCAACCTAAACAGGTGATTATAAGAAAAACAAATTTACATTTTCCTTCATTATAGAATCCAACAATGTTTACTCAACAATACTCCATATATGATAAGTTGGTTATTGTGGTTAATGAGAAGTAAATGTGACTAAGCAAATACTATAGATTATAGCACAGATTTTATTCAACAAATAGAAAATCACAAGGAAGAAATAAAGAATAAACTAGAATTTGACAAAGGAAAATATTAAAATTTCCATATAAAAATAGTATTTATTATCAAAATCATGTAGACAACCACAAGGAAATTGAATGTTAAAAAATTGCTCAATCAGTAAACTGATATAAAGTATCCACATTATACATAGCTAACTTAATTATTTATTACTTACTCAACAATTGCATTAATATTAGGATTTTGATCATATTCATCCTAAAAATAAAAGAAAAGAATTAGCAAGTATTCATATAGAAAATTTTATGGTTTCTTGATTAATTATAAATGTAAACAATAGGCTATTATAAATCTAGATATTTTGTGAAATAATAAAAACGTATGGTTTCTAATCAGTAGAAATCTTGGATATGACATTGAAAACTATATTGTATAAAACTCTTAAAATTAAAGTTTTTCTACATAAAATTTATTGTTAAATTTGTAGCACACAAAATAAATAAATATATTTTTTAATAATTAGTTCGTTTACCTCTTCAATTTCGATTGCATCGTCTGAATCATCTACTTCTACAGTTTCAACATCATGCAGTTCTAAATCGAATACACCAGCCATTTTGACTACAAAACTTTGATCTTACATCTAGAATTATAGCTTTTAAGCAATATTTTCCAAAATTGTTCACAATTGTTGCGAAATGTCTAAACAATTACAAGAATTTTTAAAATTTTCTGCTGGCACGACACCATAAAATAAGGTTATGTCTAAAACATTGTTACCAACCGTAACGGGTATTAAATATCATAACAATTATGGACAACGACAACAGGATAACAACTTTTAACTGAAATTACTAAAATAATTTAAAATCCTATTTTTATTCCCAGACAAACAACTTGCTGAAATAATATTCGATAGCACAATAACTAGAAATTCTAAGAAATACCAAGACTGATTGAATTTTCATACAAATATGTTTATGATAGATTTAGTTGTATGACAGAGATTGATAGATCACTGAGTAAATAAAAAATAATTTATTCTGATTAAATCTATCGTATAATATATAATATGTGTATGTGCACAAAAATTAAATATAGAAATATTGGTAAACAAAATAGTAAGAATTAAAAGTTTCATGTGTTAAGTGTTAGGCAATATTGAAGTAGGCTCTTTGTGATTAATGTTGTCTACATTTAGTATGATAACATCGCATTCATTTTACAATAGTTTTGGATCATGGTTTTGGATAATGAAATGATTAAGGCCTAATAATTTTTTGTATAAATCGTTAAAATTCTTTTACCATTTATGATTTATTTATAAACTAATGACCTGATTTCCTATCCTGTTTCTTAAGGAAATCTTACTTATAATGTCTATAGGTATAATACTTTAGTCATAAATGTACAATTCTGGCTTATTGTTCTTCGTTATTTATCTGTTGGTAACTTCTCAATATTACCTATCTAAGCACATTTTATCTACGATTCTCGTATGGCTACTCCTTCGCATTTAATCTTGCAGTGTTCGTTCGCAAAAAGCGGAGGAATCCTTCCAAATAATACCTACGGAGTCACCAACAAATGGCTTCACAATTAAAAAGATAGTGGAAGCAGGAAAGGCACTAAAGATAGGGAAGACACCCGGACCTGACAGAATTTCACCGAAAAGAATAAAGACAAATCTTGAGGAAAAGGCTAAATAGAAGACTCATTAAGTCAAGGCTCGAAAAAGAAATAGAGGAAAAGAGAATCCTGTCGTTAAGAAAAGGCAGATCTGTCGTAAACGCCATAAACAAGTTAGTAAGGGAGAAAACGGCATGTAGGGGTATGGGACGGTCGCACTTATTCTGGACATCAAGAACATATTCATTCATTAACGTGAGCTGGGGAAAATCATCAGACTATTCTTCTTCTTCTCTTCTTATGGTGCCCTATCCAATTAGTGGATATTGGCGACAATTCTGGCATACTCCTCTCGATCTTGTGTGGCTCTAAAGAGTGCATGGGCATCTAGGTTTGTCCAATCCCTTATGTTTTCAAGCCATGAGCATTTCTTTCTTCCGATGCCCCGTTTTCCTTCTATCTTCACATTTTACAAAACGATATTGAAGTGTTAAGTTAAGGCTGCTCATGCTTAGCAAGGTTCTCATATTAGTAAATGCTGTTCTGGCTTGCTCAATGCTACGTATTTCTATGTCTGGATCTAGATCTTCAGTTATTCCAACTACCGAGATATCTGAACTTGGGGACCTTTTGCATGTTCTTATATAGTTTATCTTTATATTTAATTGCATATTTCGTGTTCTACTAACCACCATTACCTTCGTCTTGTCTATATTAATCTTCAAGCCCAGTCGTTCTCCTTCAGTGTTTATTCTATATATTAGTCGTTGTAGCGCTGCTTGGCTATCAGCTATTATGACAGTATCATCAGCATAGCGAAGATTACTAATAGTCTGTCCGTTGATTTTCATTCCATCTTCAGTGTCACTTAAGGCTCTATCGAAAATCGTTTCAGAGTAAAGATTAAAAAGGAGTGATGACAGAACACAACCCTGTCGTACATCTTTTTCGATGAGAAATATGATGCCTACTCCAGTCCTACTCTCACAGATGCCACTTGATTCATATAAAGTTCTTTATGATTTTAAGGTCATTCTCATCTATCTCCTTCACTTTGGCAGGAGAAAGTATACTACCTGTCAAGAAAGACAAATATCTGGGCGTAGTACTGGACACCAAACAGAGCTTTGGTGAACACGTAATATATGCCGCGAAAAATTCCGATCAAAGAACATCAGCGCTAACAAAGTTTATGCCAAACGTAGGAGGTCTAGGAACAGATAGAAGAAGAATTCTTATGAAAGTAACGTCTCTACCATACTATACGCAGCACCAGTATGGCATCAGGTAATGTCTGTGCATATAAGTTCACTTAGAGAGACTTATTAAGATGATAGTTACCTTATAAGTGATAGCAAGAGTGCCACCAATTCACCTACATACTAGTTAGAGAAACAGCAATCATGTAAGAACTGCATAAAAGGCTAGCCCTCCACTTGCAATTTGTAGTCACGCGATTGTTTAATCGGAAATATTGAACACATTGTTTCAAATATAGGTAAATCCAGTTGCGACGAAATAACCACAGAAAACGCAACCTGTCTTATTTTTACCGCGAAGCGATAGTCGCCTACCACAATGAATCATACGGATTAGCATAGACATGCATCCACTTAAGATTTCTTCTTCTTCACGTGCCATCTCCGCTACGAAGGTTGGCTATCATCATGGCAATTTTGACCCTGGAGGCTGCCGCTCGGAACAATTGTATGGAAGTGCAAGCAAACCACTCCCTGAGGTTTCTCAACCATGACATTCTTCTCCTACCTATGCTGCGCCTACCTTCAATCTTTCCTTGCATAATTAGTTGTAACAGTTGATATTTATTCCCACGTGTAATATGTCCCAGGTATTGTAGTTTCCTTATTTTAACACTCAATACGACCTCCTTTTGTTTGTTCATCCTGTCTAATACAACTTGGTTAGTTATCTTATCCTTCCAGGAGATTTTTAACATTCTTCGGTACGCCCACATCTCAAATGCCTCCAGCTTACCCATACATTGCTTATTTAGTGTCCACGCCTCCACCCCATACAACAGGACCGAGAAAACATAACATTTAAGCATTCATTCGTATTTTCAGCTTTAGGCTTAGGTTACGGCTACACAACATTTGTTTCATATTGTTAAAGGCACTGCGGGCTTTCTCTATTCTTATTCTTATTTCTCTGGTGTATTCGTTTGACTCGTTAATATTTGTTCCGAGGTAATTGTAATTTTGTACTTGTTCAATGAGATTCTGTCCTACATTTAAGTTGATATTATTGATACGTTTCTTTGTAATTATCATGAATTTGGTCTTCTTTGTATTCAGTGACAGACCAAATTCTTCACTTGCTTCTACCACTTTGTTTAGTAATCTCTGTAGGTCGTCTATATTTTCTGCTATGAGCGCGGTATCATCAGCATATCGGATATTGCAAATGGGGTGACCGTTGATCTTTATTCCGGCTTCTTCGTTCATAAGAGCTTTTTTAATAACTTCTTCCGCGTAGACATTGAACAAGGTTGGAGACAACACACAGCCCTGCCGAACGGCAGGGCTGTGTGTTGTCTTAAGATTGTTTAGTCGCAATTCTGAAGCCAGCTAAGTCTAGTGTGTCTTCAAGAATATTTAGTATTCAATTTTTAAAAAATGTCAGTCAACGAGGAATATGCTGGAAATGTTGGGGCATTTTGAGTACTATTTATTCAGAGCAGTTGATTAAAGCAGTTGAAAAAAGATTAGCACTCTACAAAAAACAACTCATATCAAAGAGTACAGCAATAATAGTATTGAAATTTTTTTTCAGGATGTTCACATAAATCTTCAAATAACATGTAAAACTGTCTTTTAAAAATCTTTGATTTGTTAACAGATGAATCCAATAACGATGAATGCAATAACAGATGAATCTTTGATTTGTTAACAGATGAATCCAATAACGATGCTTTCGTCGTTTACTTCTCGACCGAAGCAAAAGAGCGATTACACAAGTAGTTTTGATATTATCCATTGGAAAACATATAGATGTAATTCGCGATTTATAGATCGTAGTGGAGGCACCCTTTAGATTTTCTACGACAGCGCAAGTGGAGGGCTAGCCATGAAAACGAGAAAGCAGATGAGAGAGGGGTTACCAAGACAAAATGGCAAGCAGAGTGGGAATGAACAAGAGCACTAATACCGGACCTGCGAGACTGGGTAGAATACGGCCATATGGAGAATAACTATAACTACTTCTTCACACAGTTCTTTAAGGGCACGGCTCCTTTAGAACCTACATGGTAAGGATAGAGAAGTAAGAAGAGGACAACTGCGTTGACTGCGGGGTTAACTACACAGCAAAACACTTTATTCAATTGCATGAGGTTCACGAACCAGAGGGTGGAGTGATTTTTGGGCGAATAACATAATGGAAGTGGCGGGAAGGGGAGAAAATAAATACAAAGAAATTCTGGAGCAATAACGAGAATAATAAAAAGGAAAGAGATCCTAGAAAGGGAACAGGCGACATAAACACTAAAGGGAAAGAAGCAGAAGAGAAGGAAGCTGCACATGCGTATTAATACGGTCCTAAACAAAACTAGCAGCACGTGTATGGCTAGGGTTGTTGTGCTAGTTTCTGGTCTCGTTTTAGTGGTATATGCATAGACATAATAATGTAAATTTTACTACAAATTTATATATTTGTGTTTTCGTTTCTAAGTTTAGATGTTTCCTTCTCGATATTATTACCACTTCGCTATAGTCAAGACACAGATAGTACTGGAAACAGCAGAAATGAGAATTTTCAGAAGAATTAGAGAGAACAAGCCGAGAGGCCGAATAAGAAGTGACGAGATCAGAACAAAATGTGACTGGCACAAGAGTCCTTAATATAGCAAGGGACAAATCACCAAGTGGTAGAAGAGGAGGTAACAACTTTTCAATGAAAAGGCAAAATTGCTTATATAGAGGAAGAAAAAGAAGAAACTAGTACCTAGATTGTTTGAAATATTCATGA